TCAAATTATAAATAGTATGCAAAAGAAGGAAAAAGAGTAAACAAATAACACAATTATACTATAGTATAAAATATAGTATTAATCTTATGAAATCGAAAATATATCGCGTATAATTTTCCTTATCATATCCCATCATATCGTAAATGTTTGACTAATTATTAAAAATAGTAAAACTAATATCTCGATATAATAAAGGGCGAATGGCAAATAGACCAATGACAAGGGACTTAAATGCACATTCGTCCAAAAAAAAACAATCTTTCAAATAAACCCATCCCAATGTCTTTAGTCTAAAATACCCTCCATAATATAATTCTTATAAATTCCATCCATTATGCTCTAACTTCCTTAATATTACGCATTGACCCCGGTACAAATATATCACATTAACCCCCATTGTAATAATTTTTGAATTTTTTTTTTCAAAAAAGAATTTTTTTTCTGATTTTTTTTTTCCGGCCAGATTCTAGCGTTGATCGCCGGTCTCCGGCGTTGAATTTTTTTTTTTGAATTTTTTTTCCGGCCGGTCAACCACTGTTGACCGCCGGTCTCCAGCGTTGACTTTTTTTTTTTTGAAATTTTTTTTTATCTTAGAAAAAAATATTTTAATTAATATTACTGTCTGTGCTGCTAAATTACTGTCTCAGACACTAATATTACTAATATATACTGTCCAAAATAGTAATATTATTGCATGAGACAGTAATATTACGGTCGGAGACAATAATATTACGGTCGGAGAGAGTAATATTACTGTCGAAGACAATAAAAATGCAGGCGAAGACGATAAAATTAATTAATACACTAATATTACTGTCTCAGACAGTTAAATTACTATTAGAGACAGTAATTTAGCAGCCAAGACAATATTATTAATTAAAATAAATATTTTTAAGAAAAAAAAATTTCAAAAAAAAAAGTCAATTAACAGTTAAATTATTGTCTCCGACAGTTAAATAACTGCTGGAGACATTAATTTAGTAGCCAATACAGTAATATTATTTAAAATATTTTGTTTAAGAAAAAAAGGTCAATTAATAGTTAAATTACTGTCTCCGACAGTTAAATAACTACTGGAGACAGTAATTTAGCAGCCAAAACAATAATACTAATTAAAAATAAATTAAGAAAAAAAAAAGTCAATTAATAGTTAAATTACAATCTCGGACAGTTAAATAACGGTTGGAGACAGTAATATAGCAACCAAGACAGTAATATTAATTAATATATTCTTTTAAAGAACAAAAAAAATTATAACAAAAAAGTCAACGGCGGTGAACGGTCTTTCGACCTACCGGAAAAAAAATTCAGAAAAAAAAAGTTAAAAAAAAAAAGTCAACGGTGGAGACCGACTATCAACGGCGGCTAACCGACAGTCTCTGGTGGTGGCGGGTCAAAATTGAAATTAGGGTTAAAATTGGTTAATTGGTGAAATTTGGCTAAATCGGGGTGTAAATCATGAAATTGAAGTTGAATTAGGTTTCAATAAATAACGGATAATTTTAGTTTATATAAAATGATTTTCCTTATTTGCAAATAAGTTTGAATGAGTTGGATTTATTTAAGTGCCATTGTCATGAGTCTATTTGTCATTTGCCCTACAATAAAAATCAATCAACATATAAATTTTATATTTTAAACTCAAACCACTCATTCAAAAAACATTTGAATTAAAGTTTTAATATTAAATAGCCTATAGGACGCAATGCTAGTGTCCATTTTAGGGACTTACTTTTTGGGTTCCTAAAATTGCTATTTTTTGCAACTCATATTTATTTTTGTTTCTCTCTCTAGAAAATATCACTCTCGTCATTAATTTGGCCTAAAATCATCTTTGTTGAAGTGATATACGAACACAAATGAGCTCACACGATGAAGATCGTGATACACATCACAACGAGGTAAAAATTTTGTCATTTCGTTCGAAAAATCTGGACAAATAGGGCAAAAGCCCAACCCTGGCGCCCGAAGCCGTTTTACACGCCCAAGTTGGACATGTAAACCATCAACACACGCCCAAATCGAGCGTACAAAACTACTTTCCACGCCCGAACCGGGCGTGTGAAACCCCGGTCCACGCCTAAGCCGAGCGTGTGATACTGCTTCGGGCGCCCGGTTTGGGCGTCCGCACCACCCCCCCCCCCCCAAATCCAGGCTGCGTTTTTTTTTTGTTTTTTTTTTTTTTTTTTTTTACTTTTTTTATCCGTTCTTGTATTCAATTTTGTTTTTGTTTTTTTTTTTTTGTTTTTTTTTTATGGTTTTCTTTTTTTTTTTTTTCTTTCGTTTTTTTTTTTTTTTCCTTGTTTTTTTTTTAATCTTTTTTTTTCAGCTTTTTTTCTTAGTTCAATTTTCTTTCATTTCTTATTTTTTTTTTTTTCATTTTTTTTTATGTTAGATTTTTTTTTTTTTATTTTTTGGTTTTTTTTTTTTATTTTTTGTCGTTTTTTTTTATAATATTTTTTTTCTTTTTTTATTTTATAATTTTTTTTTTTTTTTTCTTCTTTTTCTCTTTTTCCTTTTTTTTTTTTCATTTTTTTTTTTTTTGGTTTTTTTTTTTTGGCCGCTGGTTTTTTTTTTTTTTTTTTATGGTATTTTAGCTTTTTTTGTCTTTTTTTTTTCTTTTTTTTTTAATTTTTTATTAATTTTTTTATAGTGTTTTTATGGGAAACCAACACAATACGACTGAAGTTGAAGTTATCATACTGATTATTTCACAACAAATCAATTGTTTAACTTCAAGGACGAGCTGGTAGATTGGGCAAAGTCCGTTGGTAGAAATATTTTTGTAAAGTTGATTACAAAGTGGCCCTAAACCTAATAAAATGTACCTGACTTGTGACCTATTTGGGGCGAAACGAGATACGCCATCAACTAACCCAACTGCGCGCCCGAGAAGATGGAATGGTAGCAAAAAAAATCATTGTAGTTTTCAGGTTGCGGGAGTAAATCGGTTCGATGGTAGATGGGAGCTCAGAATATTATATGGGAAGTATAATCATTATCCGGTATATATGTCTGGGCATGGGCTGAGTCCATTGTCTAAAAAGGAGTTGGAGATTATTAAAGATTTGTCAAAAATTCATGTGCAGCCAAAGAAGATTATGGCTCACTTGAAACAAATGGGCTTGGGTCTCAATGCGTATATGAAACAAATATACAATGCAAAGGATCATTTCAAAAAAGAAGCTAGGAGTGACCATACAGTGATGCAACATTTGATTGGGTTGCTTGAGGAGCACAAATATAACAAGTGGATTCGTACTGATGAAACAACACATGAAGTTATTGATTTGATGTGGGCTCACCCTTAGTCTGTCGAATTGCGAAGTAAGTTTCCGTACATTATACTACTTGACAGTACTTACAAAACCAATCAATAGAAAATGCCTTTGTTGGAGATTGTTGGTGTTACTTCTGTGGGTCGTAATTTTACTGTTGGAGTGGTATTTATGCGCCATGAAAATGAAGACAATTATACCTGAGTATTCCAGAGACTGAAAAGACTTTACGCCCCAGACACTCTACCTAGTGTAATTGTGACTGATCGAGAGTTAGGACTCTTGAAGGCGTTAGAGAATGTATTTCCGACCGTGGATCATCTTTTATGTCTTTGGCACATTAACATGAATGTGGGTCGTCGTGCTGCACGATGTTTGGGCAATAGTAAGTCGCGAGGGATTGCATTCGTACGTGGCCCGTGGAAAAATATTGTAACATCCCTATGTGAGGAAGATTTCAACAGGAATTACATGGCTTTGATGGACGAGTACGCAAATTATCCACAGTTGATCGAGTACCTCCAAGACACTTGGATCATATACAAAGAGAAATTTGTTCGTGCATGGACGGATTATATTTTTCATTTGGGCAATACAGCGACTAGCAGGTATTTATTTATTTGTTAAATACAAATATGTAACTTAATGCTATTTTGTATACTGAAACATAACATATTTAATCATATTAACATGGAAAGTAACCATAGAGCCTTGAAGAGATGGTTGGATGCGTCCATAGGCGGATTTGACACATTTTGGGCACAGTATCGTTCACAAATAACAAATCATATTAATGAGATCCTCAATGACTTTGCGAAGACGATTAATGTGCATGTGTTTAAAATTTTGTCCGGTGGAGTTGTAACTCATGCCGCTCTTAAGCTTTTGGACGCTGAAATGGAGACAGATTTAGACAGCTGCACTCATTTTCTGAGGACAACTCATGGCCTCCCATGCAAACATGAAATTGATATTAACGTGAATTCGCGAGCTGATTTTTTTTATGCAGAGGATGTTCACTTGTTTTGGAGGAAAACAGTTTTGGTGGATGGTAGCCAAGAAGAAAGTGTTGGTTCCGTTTCCAATCACATGACACAAGCAATTTTTCGGCTCGACGGATTAATTGATGAGCTACATGAACGGTCTGAAATTGAGATTATTGATGTGACAGATGTAGTTTTCCAACGAATGTATCCTGGGGAGACGGAATTAAATGAACCACCAGTAATAGACCGCCCGAGAGGCAGACCGCGGAACGACTCCACACGTAGGGATAATTCAGTACATGAGTATCCACTATATCCCACACCGGACGAAGATAACGTAACTGGACGAGGACGGGGACGAGGACGAGGCAACAGAGGTCGTGGTGCATCTTCTGAAAGATCTAGTAGAAACTGTAGCCGTTCATCGACTGTGAGTGGACCCGAAACGGCACCAATGCCCCGACTTGATTTTTTTCGACATCTTCATTTATGCCTTGTTCCTAAGGTTGTGACATGGACGAACGTTCGAGGGGATGGTAATTGTGGTTATAGAAGCATTGCGTGTGCAGTGAAAGATCACGAGGATGATTGGATAGAGGTTAGATTGGATATTTATAACTGTATCAGAAGAAACAATGAGTTGTTCAAGGATTATTTCGGTGGTGGTAATTATGTATATCAGGTGTTGGCGAAAGTTGCCCATTGAGACAACGCTCAAGCACCAATTAAAAAGTGGATGACCATCACGGACGTGGGCGTGGTCGTAGCAACATGTCACAATGCTTTGGTGTTGTCGGCTAGCAGTTCGGGAAATCAGACTTATTTGCCACTTTGGGGTTCCGAAGGTGCTACACAGCTATCTTATCAGATGACTATATTGCATCTTGAGGCAGGAAGTCACTTTGTGTATGTGAAGATGACTGACAATTGTCCACTTCCTCCATTTAACTTGCAGTGGCGGAGGTACACCAATGATAGTGTTGCATATTTGACAGAGGCGCTGCGAGGTAGACGTCAAGCGTGGGATATTCTAAATAATGTTTGATTATTTTAGTTTTATCGGATTTAATGTGATGTATTATTTTGTTATGTCGAACTTAGTACTTTATTATGTGTTAAGTGTATATTTTTACACTTAATCGTACCTTTTAATTGGAGTTTTTGGTATATTTTATTGATAATTGGTGCTTAAAATATTGATTTATTGTGTTTTAGGTACAAATAGATGAATGGGATGAATACAGGGTCAAAACTGCAATTTTGGAGAAAATTGGTTTATTGTGTTTTAGGTACAAATAGATGAATTGGATAAATACATGGGTCAAAACTGCAATTTTGGAGAAAATTGATTTATTGTGTTTTAGGTAC